AAAGGTTTCTGATGGGGGCGGGGGCAGCGTGGAGGATGATGAGGCGGACGGAGTGAGACACGAAGGGGAACGACAGGCGTTCGAAACTCGTCTGCCCACGGCGGCGGTGCTGATGATGCTGCTGGCGATGCTGATGGCGATGGCGATGATGCTGACGACAGTGATGGTGATGGTGACGAAGATGCTGCTGACGACGGCGGCGATGATGATGGCACTGGTGGTGGGGGCGGTGGCGATAACGATGCTGATGTCGACAGGAACGATACGGATGATGATGCTGACGATGCTGTTGCTGGTGATGCTGGTGCCGACGTTGCTGCTGATCAGGGCGTTGTCGAGGATCGTGCTGCTGCTGACGATGCTGATGATGAGGGTGATGGTGGTGGCACTGGCGATGTTAACGGTGGTGGTGGTGGTCATGGTGATGGTGGCGATGTTGGTGGTGAGAGCGATGACGACGATGGTGGTGATACTGATGATGCTGCTGATGCGGATGACGATGCGGTTGACGATGTCGTTGGTGATGCTGATGGTGATGGTGCTGTCGCTGATTATGCTGATGATGCTGGTGATGACGAGGAGGCTTGAGAAAGAAGAGGAGGAGTGGAACGATGCGGGTGAGGAAAAGTGGGAGAAGGACAAGGAGAAGGAGTGGGAGGGGAAGGAAGGGGATAAGGCGGCGGAGGGGGAGGGCGAGGAGAAGAACGCGAATGTTGGAGTTTTCTCCCCAGGCCCCCTCAGGGTCGCCCGCAGTGGCGGTGATGGTGGTGATGATGATGACGATGGTGCTGACGACGGTGGTGGTAATATTAACGATGATTGTGCTGGCGATGATGACGATGCTGATGGCAATGCTAATGGTGATGATGCTCCCACGGATGTGATGGTGATGGCGACGGTAGTAGTGACTGTACCGATGTCGATGGTAACGATGCTGATGGTGACGACGACGTGCTGATGATGAGGACGGTTCCGAGGATGGTGACGCGGATGGCGGTACTAATGGTGGCGGTGATGTTGGTGGTGCTGTCGGTATTTTTGGTGGTGGTGGTGATGGTGATGGTGGTGATGAATGTGATTGTGACGAGGATGTTGCTGATGGTGCTGAGGACGATGGCGACGACTGTGACGTGGTGGTGAGGCTGCTCATGATGACGATGATGAGTAGGGTGGTGATGCTGATGAGTATGGTGGTGACGATACCGTTGTTGGTGATGATGCTGATGAGTATGATCATGATGTTGATGATGGTAAGGGTAATGGTGATTGTGGTGCTGCAAATGATCCTGATGCTGCTGATGATGATGGCGGCGGTGCCGATGGCGATGCTGATGGCCATGCTGGCGATGATGAGGCGGAGGAGGGTGAATGACGAGGAGGAACGGGAGGAGGAGACGGAAGAGGAGGAGAAGGAGCGGGGAGGAGGAGGAGGAGGAGGAGGAGGAGGAGGAGCAGGGGGAGGAGGAGAACGATGAGAAGGATGCGGGTCGGCGTCCTTGACGTGTTGGCCCAATGGGCCCGTCACCCGAGAGCGAGCCCCGTCGCACTCACGCAGCGCTGCGCCACCCCGACTTCCGATGTCTGACACGAAGGCCCTGATTGACGAGATCGCGAGGCTCTTGCAGCAGCTGCGAGACGCAGATGCGGCGCGCACCCAGGCGGGATAGGGTGCAACAACAATGCTGGACTGCCCTTCTCTCCTGCCTTGGCGCGCGCCGCATGTGCCGTTACTCGTCCTTCGCCTACCCCCCTTCGTCCGATCCGCATCCTGGCCCTCGCCAGTCGCGTCCTCTTCCTCCTCGTCCTCATCCCCCACCCTCCTCACCGCAACCACCCGTAAGCCCGAGCGCTCCGCGCCATCCTCCATCTGCCCCGCCAGCGCACACACCCGAGGCACTGGAGAGCAGGGCTCAAGAGATTCGAGCGCTGCACATCGAGACTTACGAACTAGGCGAGGAGCTGGCCGCGATGCGCATCATACTCAACCAAGTAGCGCCCGACAGGCTGGTTCAGCACGACCGCGAGTTCAGCGTCCAGATGAGGTGAGAACGGTTGCGCGCCCACCAGTTTATCGGCATCGCTCGGACGTGAGATCGCTGATATGCGGCTGGTGGGACAGTTATATCAAACTGTAGTTTTTGGTACATGTGGTCCCCAGCTCGAACCCTCAATGTCGAGCGTTGAAGCTGCCTCGTCGCTGCTGCTGGACTCGCGAACAAAAAACGAACTGTGCGGGGGGCGAACGGCTCGAGCGATGGCGAGTTCTGGAAGAGGCACCCTAGTTCCTTCTACTATCACACCACCACTCCCGATGTAAAGGGTGCCCCATGGGTTCCAGGAGTGGCCTAAATTGTTCCAGGGATTACAGGTGCTCCAGGGGTTCCAGGTATAGCATGAAACAAGCGCCCTAGGCGTTTCGCCTGGGTCTTCCTCCTGTGCGTTTCGCTTGGGTCATCGGTGCTCCCAGCGGTGGGGAGGGCACCGCCTCCCATTTTGTGCGCAAGCACGTCTGTGCGTAGCCCTCGTGTTGTCAAGCGTGCGCTGTGCTCGGCTGCCGTCGTGAATGGCATGCCCATGGGCGTGTCGCTCCTCATCGGTGGTGCCAGTTTTGTGATTTACACATCCCTTTCTTTGTCACCAGATCGATGACAAGTCTTCGCCATGCGATTTTCTGTTGCAAGATCGATGCCCGTTCTTTGTTACCACAACTAGTATTCCCCGATGCCTTTCGGCACAACCACTCCGCCCCTGCATGGGGTCTAGGTGTCGGGATCTCGGATGCTCGGGCTGTCTTGTGGCTCCAGGGGCTCGGGGCTTTGGTGCGCTCAGGGCCTCCCAGGGCCTAGGGGGCCAGTCTGAGGGTCGGGGGCTCCAGGTGTTCTCGGGGTTCCAGAGGCTCCAAGTGTTCCAGGGGCTCCAGGGTCTCTGGGGCGCTCATGGCCTCCCAGGGCCTAGGGGTTCAGTCTAGGGGTCTGGGGCTCCAGGGGTTCCAATGGTTCCAGGGGCGTCAAGTGTCTCAGGGGCCCCAGGTGCTCCAATGCTTCGGGGCGCTCAGGGCCTTCCATGGCCATATGTGCTGGTCAAGTCGGGCGCATCATGGGTTCAGGAGTTCCGGTGGCCACATACCAGAGGTTCACGCGTCCCCAGGGGCAACAGGTGTAGCATGAAAAGCGTTTTGAGCGTGTCGCTTGGGACTTCATCCTGCGCGTTTCGCTTGTGGCATACATATATATATATATATGTACACACACGTGCATCCGTGGTCTCAACTACCAAGAGGTAGCCCACTCCTTTACGGGCACTGCGCCTCGTTTTTTTTCTGCGGGAGGCGCTGATCGCGCACCGCTCCAGCTTGATATGCGCTGCCGCGCGTGCACGAGCATGTTGTCGTCGGATGTCGGCTGTTGGTTATCACATGCATCTGCGTCTGGCCAGTGCCCGTTGATTTACACATCCCATTCTTTGTCAACAGATCGATGACAAGGCTTCGCCATGCGATTTTCTATTATATGCCCGTTCTTTGTTACCACACCTAATATTCTCCGATGCCTTTCGGCACAACCACTCCGCTCCTGCATGGGGTCTAGGTGTCGGGATCTCGGACGCTCGGGCTGTCTTGTGGCTCCAGGGGCTCGGGGCTCTGGTGCGCTCAGGGCCCCCCAGGGCCTAGGGGGCCAGTCTGAGGGTCGGGGTCCAGGTGCTCTCGGGGTTCGAGAGGCTCCAAGTGTTCCAGGGGCTCCAGGGTCTCTGGGGCGCTCAGGGCCCCCCAGGGCCTAGGGGTTCAGTCTAGGGGTCTGGGGCTCCAGGGGTTCCAATGGTTCCAAAGGCTCCAGGGGCTCTGGGGCGACCAGGGCCTCCCAGGGCCTAAGGGTTGATAGGGGTCTGGGGCGCCAGGGGGTCCAAGGGTTCCAGAGGCTCCAAGTGTTCGGTGATCCGCGTGCTCTAGCATCTTGGGGCGCGCAGGGCCTCCCAAGGCCTGGATGATGAGATCGATGGTGATGTAACGAGGTTGTGATGCTGATGACGCTGATGACGCTCGATGACGGTGGCGATGATGATGCTAATGATGGTGATGATGATGCCGATGATAGCATGATGGTGGTTATGATGATGCTGCTGGTGATGGTGATGCGGACGAATGATGATGGCGATGAGGCTCGTATGATGCTTTTGCTGCTGGTAATGATGGCGACATGATGACGATGACGACGATGCTGATGATGATGATGACGAACATGATCATGATGATGATCGCGGCGATTGCGTTGGCGCGACGGCGATAATAATGACAAACAGATGTGTCTTATCATGTCTTCGGATGTCTGTGGAACTCTCTGAAACTAGCCAAAACCCAGTACAAACAGTGAAAACCTTAAGTAACTCATCGAACAGGAATGGGGCATGACAGCAAAAGAGCTCGAACTTTGTCGCGGAAGGTGCGGAGGGTGCAGCCGCAGGGATAACCACATTTTGAAAAGGACCGCCCTCAATCCGTGAAACTCTTACAAGCTATGATTATATTTAAAACGAATGTGCGCGGCGCTACAGCGAGAACCCCAATTTTGAACATGAACCGCTATCAATCCGTGAAACTCTTGCAACCTTCTAAAACGAATGTGCGCGGCGCTTCGGCGAGAACCACATTTTGAAAACCACTCGCACGCAAGCCGTGGAAGTCTTGCAAATGTTTAAAACGAATGTGCGCGGCGCTAAAGCGAGAACCACATTTTGAAAACCACTCGCCCGCAATCCGTGAAACTCTTGCAATTTGTTTAAATGAATGTGCGCCTCGCTAAGGCGAGAGCCACATTTTGAAAATGACCCGCCCTCAATCTGTCGAACTTTTGCAGATTTCTAAGCTTCAGAATCATAGATGGTGAGGAAATCTCAGGCGAAACGCCCGGCCCACCCTAAAAACTGGCCCCGGGGTGCGGCACTGAGAGATCATGTATATGGAAAAAGACTGGAGGAGAAGCTCTGGTGTCCGAGCCGTTCGGCGCCTCTCGCGGTGGACACCTCCAGCGCCACGCAGTCCCCGCCGCGCCCCTCGCCGCCCAGCGCCGACTCGAAGCGCAGCGTCTCTGGCGGCGTGGTGTCCGGGCCGGCCCCTGGCAGGCCGCTCTCCCGGTGAGACGAAGCGGGGGCGAGGATAACATCAGGGCAAGGAGCAAGCGAGCATCTCTGAGATCTGGCGGCTCTCGAGGATGTATCGGGCGCCGCGGCCTTTTCAGAGCGTTCTGGAACGCTCACGCTCTGGAACGGAGTTACCTTCGTCCTGGCGCCTGGCAGGCCGCTCCCTGGTCCCGCGGCCATCCCGGCACGCCGGGAGGGCACGGGGTGCAGGGGGCGCGCGCGAGTTGTTGAATTTTTTGTTGACGTGAACGGGCAGCTGCCGACGATGCAGCTGGGGACTGGCGAGATCACCCAGACGGAGCGTGCAGGGAGGAGGAGAGGTAGGGAGAAAGGAGGGAGGCCAAGGCCGAGGAGAAGAGAGAGGGGAAGGAGGAGGAGGAGGAGGAGGCGGAGGAGGATGAGGAGGAGGCGGAAGAGAAGGACAACACGCGCTTACGTATGCATCCTCACATCGGTGCGTGGTACTGCGCACCCCGAACGTTCGTTCCTGCACAAACACTCACACGAGCGCAAGCGCATAGACACGCGAACCGAGTGGCACATTACACGCACGCACGCACGCACGCACGCACTCACGCACGCACACATATACACACACGCACACACACATTCACACACATTCACACACACACACACGCACGCACGCACGCACGCACGCACGCACGCACGCACGCACGCACGCACACACACACACACACACACACACACACACACACACACACACACACACACGCGCACACACACATACACATTCACACACATTCAAACAAACAACCACACACGCGCACACACACATTTCTGGCAGTCACAACCTCGCGCGCAACGACGAGGCGTAGCAAGTCAAGTACCGTCACGCGCGGCCCGCGCCGGGCCCACAGAAGCGGGCGCCCCCGCGCCATAGGCCACCCGGGCGTGGGTGGCGGGCGAGAAGGGATTCATCCAGCGGTGGCGACGAAGGCCTCGCAGGAGGTTGAAACACGTGGGAAACGGGCGAAGGGTAGCGGTATGGTGCCTCGATCGCCGCCTCCTGTGACCCCCCTCGCTCGCCGCCGATACCCGCGGGGAAGCGGTCGGGGCCACTGGGGCCGCGGAGCGCACAAGAACACAACTGCGGCTGCCAGGGCCCCCTTTGGCACGAAGCCATCGGGCCTCGCGGGAAGCGGGCCCTGGACCCGTGCGGAGTGGCTCTCAAACTGCTGCCCTCCAATCCATGATCGAGAAGGGCCGTGGGACAAGGGAGAATTAGAGGTGGTGAAGCTTGCCCCACCACTCGCCGCCTGGATCCTCATCTGGGCGGGCCCGTGGGCCCTCTCCTCACCCCGACTCGTCTCTTGACGGCCCCCTGGAGCCTGGGGGGGCACCAAATGGTGGGTTTGTTTTCCACCTCCACTGCCATAAGTAGGAGGGGGAGGAGGTCCTTCTCCTCCTCTTCTTCCTCCTCCTCATCCTCCACCTCCTTCCCCCTCCAACTTATGGTGGTGGTGGTGGTGGAAAGCGGCCCATCGCCAGCCGGGGACGCCTTGGCCCAGGGACGCCTCTGGCAGCGCCCGACCTGGGCCCTCTCCACAACCCGACTCGTTTCTTGACGACCCCATGGGGCCTGGGTGGGGGCACCAAAAAGGGAGGCACAAACCGGGGAGGCCTTGGCCCAAGGACGCCTCTGGCACCGTCGCACCGGGGCGACGGCCAAAAACGGGTCTTACGCGAGATGGCACAGCGACCTTACGCGGCTTGAGCGGGCCGCCAGCGCGGCACGCTGCGTTGGAGGCGAGGACGCTCACGCGCGGCCTTACGTGGGCAGATTAGGCGCCAAGGTCGGCGCAGACGACCAGCGCGGCACGCTGCGTTGGAGGCGCGGACGCTCACGCGCGGCCTTACGTGGGCAGATTACGCGCCAAGGTCGGCGCAGACGACTCACCCGAGGCAAGCGCGGGCCCGCGGCGGCCAGACCCGCCCCGACAGCGGGCCGGGGCCGAGGTCCGCAGCGGGGCCGCGGCAGGCAGAGGCGAGGCGCCCCGCCTCCCAGGTTGCTGTGCGTCACCTGGCTCGCGGCGTTGCGGGGTCGCAGGGCGGGAGGGCGGGGTGCAGTCGGACGTTATAGGTGGTGACCCACAATGGCCCCCCCACCCCGGACGGCGGCACCCTGGGGAATCCCTCGCAGAGGGGGTGCCGGGTGCCGGGACTGGGGGTGGGGTTGAGGTTTCGGCGGCCTTCGAGGCTAACGCTCGAGCGTGAGGCGCTCCCCAAAATCTCACCCCCAGTCGAGGCACCCACTCGGCAAGTCTGCCCTCACCCCTGTGGCGATCGGGGGTCGGGGGGGCCATGCTGGGTCACGATGAGAACAGAAGGACATCCGTCAAGAGCATGGGACCCTCCGTCGGACAAGACACACAGAGCGTCCAAGCGTGCCCTCCCCAGGATGCACATGAACATCCAACAAACACGAAGATCACTGGGGCACTCTCCCCGAACCGAGCTCGATCTTATACCTCTGCCCGACTGTAAGAAGGGGCCCCTGAAGGGCGGGGGTGAGCGCAGGGATGGTTGGCTGGAGGAGGAGGGCCGACGTGGGGTGGGGGAGGAGGGGCAGGAGTGCGAGGACGCGGAGGACGCAGAGGAGAGAAAGAGGAGAGCAGCCTGGGGGGGAGGGGGGGGGGAAAGGCCGCACGGAATGGGGACGCAGGGAGAGGGATCCACCTCAACCCCGGGCCCGTCCCTGCTTCTCCTCCTTTTCTACGTTGGACAAACATGAGGCGGGGCCTGTTGCATGAATTATTTATCCTTCTCCTCCTCCTCCTCCTCCCATTGCTCCTCCTCCTCCTCCTCCTCCTCCTCCTCCTCCTCCTCCTCCTCTTCACAAACTGTTTTTTGTCCGCCCCTCGATCGCGGTTCGCTTCGCTTGCGTCCCGATAGGGTGCACGCGTGCGCGCGCGGCGCACCCATGCGAGCGAGCCGCACGCTGCCTGCAGACCGTCTTCTGCTCCCTCTCTCTCTCTCTCTCTTCCTCATCCGCCCAATTCCTCCTCCTCCTCCTCCTCCTCCTCCTCCTCCTCCTCCTTATCTGCCTCCTTCATCTCCTTCCCCTTCTCACCCTCGGACCCCCCCCCTCCTCATCCTCCTTTCCTTCCTTGTCCCGTCCGTATGCCTTGTTCGCACGAGCTACTACTAGGCTACCTGGCCAGCAGATAGCATACGGACCCACGAGATCCCATCCTACCAATCAAAGCCGAAACAGAATCTACGCTTTCACCTACAACACGAGGGCGCTGGCGAGGACGACTCGACATGCGGGGCACGAGTGGGACGGGGCGGACATCGCGGGCGAAAGAGCGAGCACGTCAATCCCGCCCTGGCGCGGCGGTCACGCCCCGGCGAGGCGCGCCACTTCCACTCGCCGGGCCGTGTGGGGGCGCGGCCGCGCGCGAGCGGCCGGCCTTTGCCGCCTCGTCCGAGCGGCCGCGCAGAGACCTCTCCGCGCCCGGACGTGGCGCTCCCGCCGGGGCGCGGCGCACGCCTCCCTCGGGAATCCCCGCTGCGTCGTTCCCCACCCCCCACGAGTCTTGATCACGGACATCTGCCAAAACGGAGGGGCACTTACAAAACGAGCCTTCAGATGGGACCATCGTATGCCCTGCAGAGCTTCACGCGAAGGGGAGCAGCAACTCTGAAAGTCGTTGAATAACAATGGCCTCCATCTTGACCCAGATCTAAGGACCAGCCCCAGGGCACGGGCAAAGACACGCTGGGTCTGGGTCATGGGGTCCTCAATCCTTTCCTCGAGCGCATTCTTCAACAGACGCCCGCGCCGCCCTGTTAAGGTCACGATTCGCGCCGGCGCCATCTCGGAAACGGCAACAGCGTGTTCCCAACAACGCCGGCGCGAATCGTGACGCTACAGGCCCCCTCCACCCCTCTGCCCCCTGGTAATGGCCGCTGGCGCGAAACGACAAACACCAATTCCTCGCTCTCTCCCGCTCTCCCCCCCAGCCTAAACCCGATCTAAATCTATCCCCAGACACCTCCCGAGGTCCATCCTCGACTGGCTTTCGACGTGGACCCAGCCCTGGCGACGAAGTCCCCAAGAGGACGAAATAGGCCAGGGAGGGGCGCCGTGGGTTTCTCGTCAGACCCCGTTTCGCTGCTGCATTCTTTTCAAACCAGATATGGGCCCAGTGCCCAAAACTGGGCGAAACCGCTCAGAGCGTAAAATTTGCAACGCCAGGATCTCAGGAACCACCTCTCCTTGGGCGTTGCGCACACGGGGGGGAGAAGGGGGAGGGCTTCTTCGAAGGAGGCTGCTTCTTTGAAGGCGCCAGCCTCACATCTGTAGATCAGGCCCGCGCCTTCCGAAGGAGCAGGGGTGCTTCGAAACAGCCCTCCCCCCTCCCCCCCTATCCCCTCTGCGCGTGGCTGATCCCAAACATCCGACGTCTCGATTGTTTCGAGACACGGGCCCCCGACCTCCAGACCACTTCCCCAGGGCCGGTTTTTCGCCCCGAGTCGTTTTTTGACGGTTCCGAGGCCCGGCGAGGGCCCCGAGAGGCCGAAAACGATGAAAAACCTCCGTCTCGATTTTTTCGAGACGCCCGATGTCTGGGATCTCCTCCCTCCTCGCCCAGCCCGGGCACATTGAGGAGGTACAGCCACTGGGCGACGTCGCCGTTCTGGCAGCCCAGGTCCAGGGCCCTCCCGGCCGGCGCCGCGAGGACGAGCAGCAGGACCGCGAGCGGGAGCACCTGATCCGCCAGGACGGGGGGGGGAGGAGGGGAGAGGGGGGAGGGGGAGGAGGAGGAGGATGAGGAGGATGAGGAGGAGGAGGAGGAGGAGGAGGAGGAGGAGGAGGACGAGGAGGAGGAGGAGGAGGAGGAGGAGGGGGAGGAGGGAGGAGGAGGAGGAGGAGGAGGAGGAGAGGAGGAGGGGGAGGAGAGGAGGAGGAGGGAGGAGGAGGGAGGAGGAGGAGGAGGAGGAGGGGGAGGAGGAGGAGGAAGAGCAGGAGGAGGAGGGAGGACGAGGGAGGATGGAGGAGAAGTGATGTCTTGGGGTAGAGCCCTCTCCGCACCCTCGACCAGTGCTCCTGGCCTTTGCCTTCCGAACGAACGGGGGGGGAGTAGTGGAGAGAGAGGAGGAGCGAGGAACGAACAAAGAGCAACGCGAAATGCAGCTTTGTTTCACTCATCAGCTTGTCTGTGAGGACTCTGCATCCGTTCTACAAAAGATTAGGTGCGTTGCCGGATCCTGAATCAATCGGGCGACGTTGCCTCCGATTGCCTTCACTGGCCTCCCGTTGCCTCCCGTGGTCTCCCATTGCCGTCCCTATCCCTATTCCTGTGCCTATCCCTGTGCCTATCCCCTATCCCTCTGCCTGTATCTCTCACCCTATCCCATCCTGACCCCCTATCCCTATCTCTATGTATCCGTAGCCCTATCCAACTATTCCTATCCCGATCCCCAAATCGCGCCCCTCAGTGTGACCCTCCATCGTGCCCCCCCCAATCGTCATCCCCCATGGTGGCCCCCCATCTTAACTGTGTAAAGCTGTTTGAGGTCTTCTGCCGCAAGGGTTCGCCCGTATGCGATGGCGCCAGCAGTGCTGGTATTTTGCAGAGTATTGGCCTGGGTGATGACGATGATTCGAAAATCAACGCCACCTTTTGCACACACTCCCCAGCCGCCAATGCGGCCTCGCGAGCCAATGCGGCCACCCATGAGGGGGGAAGAAAGAGGAGGCGGGGAAGAGAGGAACGAGGAGCAGAAGGAGCAGGAGGCAGGGAAAGGAGCGGGGAACGGCAAAAGATCATTCACGCCATCGTTTCCACATCCGGAACGTATTGCCGCGAGGTAGGCTTGCCTGCAAACGTGTATTGGTCGCGCGTGTCTTAGCCGCCGAGGCTCGAGTCGAGAAACCATTCGACACGGTGGAAACACATGCTGATATCAATGCTACATTCGCATGCGTGTGGGGCATCTGTGGATCGCGAAAATACAGACGCCGAACATAATATGTCAGTGGAAGTCGAACCGAACAAACAAAAACTGAAAGCAACCTCATAACAAAAAAACATGCACGAGACATATAAGGGCATGCAAGGATATCACAATGATTTCATATGCGTGCTGCTTTTTCTTCAGTAGGCATAAGATGCACGTGCACTGACCATGGTATTCAGACTGCAACAATGTCAGCAATATATATATATATATATATACATATATATATATATTTGTATACACACATATATATATACATATATATATATATGTGTGCGTGCATGCGTGTGAATGTTGTGGATCGGCAAGTGTTGCACGCGTGACTTACGAGAACATATGAATGGCCAGTGGGCTTCTCACTACGTGCTCCAAAACTCTGCATCAGACATCGAATAGCGATTATACGATGAAGGGCCTGAACGAATAATGACAGCATTGGGGTAACAAATGATGCCCCCCCCTGGACGCTGACGAATAGGCCCCGCGGGGCGCTGAACACTTGTTCAATCACGCGCGCCAGGTGGTCGTCGCGGGCGCCGCCGGGCGGATCGTGCACCCCCTTGCATGACAGCCTCGGAACGATTACCTTCCATATCGAAGTCGTAATTGGGGTCGAATGCATCCGAGACAAAATTTCTCCCCCCTATCAGGCGTCGTCGTCGTCGTCGACTACAGCGGTCCTACGCAACCCCCATCCCCATGCGGCATCCGCAATGCGTCGTTGTCGCCGCCGTCGTCGTCGTCGTCGCGTTGTCGACGTCGTCTTCGTCGTCGTCCGCCGTCCGTCGTCCTTGTCCCCGTCCACATCCGTCGTCGACTACAGCGGGCCTGCGCAGCCCCCCACCCCATAGGGCATCCGCAATGCGTCGTCGTCGTTGTCGCCGTCGACGTCCGCCGTCCGTCGTCCTCGTCCCCATCCTCGTCCTCGTCCTCGTCCTCGTTCTCCTCGTCTCGTCCTCATCCTCCTCCTCGTCATCGTCGTCATCGTCATCGTCGTCGTCGTCGTCGTCGTCGTCGCCGTCGCCGTCGTCGCCGTCGTCGTCGTCGTCGTCGTCGACCACTCGGGGCCTACTCGTCGTCGTCGTGAACTATTACACCAGGCCAAATCAGCAACCCCGTTCCCCCCAAAGGGCATCCGCAGTGCGTCGTCGTCGCCGTAGCCGTCGTTGTCCGTCGCCGTCGCCGTCGCCGTCGCCGTCACCGTCGCCGTCGTCGTCGTCGTCGTCGCCGTCGTCGTCGTAGGACGTTTTATTGGAGGGAGGGGAGGGAAAAGGACAAAGAGGAGCCCTTTCAGCCTGCCTCTTCCGCTCCTCCCCCTCTCGCCCCTTTCTTGTTTGTAGCCACGTCGGCATCGCCCGCCAGACGAAGCGCTTCTTTCCTCCGCCTCCTTTTCTTTCCTCTCTGCAGCAATTTTGGCCCAAACGCCCCGCTATATCGGAGGCGCTGCTGTCCCCCTCTGCTGAAGCGGCGCCACTTGCGTCACGCCTGTCGCCTCCCTGCTGTCGGCCTGGTGCCGGCGCTAATCACCAGCACCGCCGCCGTGCGTTTCAATTTGGCGGGCGCCCCCCCCCCGCGATTCGCCCGAGCAGGGGCAACTTTTTTATAATCGCACGCCCCTCACGGATTTGTTGATCACAAGCTGACACCACACACCAATACCTCCACCGAGCGGCGCATGAATTGAATGCATTTGGTCATACATTCGTTGCGGCGGGAAATCATGCGAGAACGCGAATTTGAAATCATGTATCCCCACCACGTGCGCCCGAATTGTGAGCGTTGGGCAAAATCTACGGACCTTCGACGGCCCAACGGGCCAGAGGCGTGCCAAGATCTCAGGTAATAAGGCTTAGAAAGCTTCCAGTTCGCGCGCGCGCGGGGTCGCCCTTGTGACCGTGTTGTCTTTTCCCTTCCCGAACGACGGCCGTTACCCAGGGGGGCGGTCCGGGCGGGAGGGTGCCGGTAGCGGCGGCCTCGGCATGCGCCGGCCACGGTGCGTCCGCGCCACCGGCGCATCACTCGCCTGTGTGCACCGCGCGCCCTGTGTACACGACAATGCCCAGCGCACGCGTGCAACACAGCGCCACCTGTGTACACACAGCAGTGCCTCCGTACACCACAACAGCCGCGTGCACTGCAGCACCACGTCGCCTATGCACACCGCAGTGCCTGTGTATACTGCGCCAGCCGTGTGCGCAACAACGCCCGTGTACACCGCATCGCCTGCGTGCCCCAGAACACCAGCACCGTGAAACTGGACCACTTCAGGATTCCACAGCAAAAACGTATGTAAAATGTTAAGAAACCTTCTTCGAACATGAAGTGCCCCTGGATTCTACAAACAACCATTGTTTATAAGAGGGTTATCAAAATATCGAACGGAACATGGAGCGCCTCTGGATTCCACATAACACAAATCTTGAGTAAATAAGGTAAAGGAGAAGCACGATGGAAAACGGAGCGCCTCTGTATTCCACCAAAGACCTTTGCTTAATAAGCGAATGTACTATGAAAGTGGGTGCCTCTGGATGCACAGAACTCAAACGTTTGATATACGCGTTTTAAAGCAGTCCCTGTGGAAAGTGGGTCGCTTGAGGATTGTGCGCGCGTGCACCACAACGCTTGCGTACACCACAGCGCCCGTGTAGACCGCAGCAGCCGTGTGCAATGCAGCGCCGGCGTGCACCACGCTGCCTGTGTGAACCACAGCGCCTGCGCACACCACAGCGCCTGCGGGAGAAGGCGCGGAGCCGCCCAATCTCCGTCTTATCCATGACGCTGGGTCTACAATCGACACGTGCACCAAGGACGGGTGGTAAGGACACATGACCCTTGAAAGCCGAAGTTGAGACTGTTTGGCAAGAGCTGGCCAATGAAAGCGGCAAAGGCCAGGCCGCAAAGGCAAGGACACAAGGTTACCCTGGAGAAGGCTCGCATTCTTATTAGGCACGTTGGCTGTACCGCACCGCAACCGAGCACTGGCCACAAGGAAGAAAAAGAGCCCTCATGTTGTACTTGCGGAGAAGTGGTCGAACCATCCTGCGGTAGCTGAACCATCGCCAGCTGCATTGGACGACGACGACGACGACAATGACGATTGTCTGATCTGTTTTACTTTTCCGTCCTTCGTCCACAACTACATACCCCACAGCAGCTTACCTCCGATCGCTGTGTGGTCCTCTGGGAGGTAGGGTTTCACGCAGCGAGCGGCCCGCGCAAGCAGCCGGCAGCGAGGGGGGGGCCCAGCTTCCCCCCCCCCACAGCACGATCTTTAACTTTCCCCGGCGGGGGGGTCGGCCAACGAGCGTTACGCCGGGGAGGGAAAGAAAAACGCTCACCCTGGGGATCCCGGACGACAAGTACCACCAGGCAATGGCGAAAGGTCCCCCCAAAAGATGCTGGAACTTCCCGGGGCGGTCTTCCAGACCCCAGGTCCCCAAGACGGTCTAGGAGGGCCCCGAATCGCAGAGCGATCGGTCCTGGCCAAAGAGGTCTGCACTCGGCCACGACTCCGTGGACCAAGGGCCGCGCGTGAGGACAGGCGGGCGAACCGAATCTCTACGCGCCGCCGCGCTGGTCCCGGGCAGGCTGTGCTTTCCAGCGAAGGGGGAAGAGGAGGGGAGAAGCAGGCAGACGACGACGAGCGCGCAGGCGGGAGGCCCACGACGACGACGACGACGACGACGACGGTCGGTCCACGACGCCCAAGATGGCCTTCAGTCGGCCGAACGAGCGCCCCAGAGGTCCCAAGAGGCCTCTGAGAGCCTTCCCCCAAGAGGGCCACGAGAGAGGCCAAGGCCCCCAAGACCGCCCCAAGACGGCCCCAGAGAGGCCCCCGGAGAGGGCCCCCAGAGGGCGCAAGAGGCACCAAGGATGGCCCAAGAGGACCCCAAGAGGGGCCCAAGAGGGGCCCCAAAAGGGAACCACGAACCGAACATCTGAGCCTTCCGCCCCGAGAGGCGCCCAAGAGGCCCCGAGAGGCTCACAGGAGGTCCCCACCGAGGCCCCAAACGAGGCCCCGAAACAGCCCACGAAGGTTTCAGAACTGCCTCCAGGCTGCCCCCGACAGGCCGCGACCAGATCCCGACGAACACACACGAGGCCTCAGACCCACCCCCCGGGCACGGTGGCGGGGGGGGGCCGAATGCCATTAGGCATGGGGCATGCGGAACGAGCGAGGCAGTCTTGAACACGCCCAATTGTCGAGCAGCTTGGGGTTCAAAGCCTTGAGTTGCGAGGAACTCCTCAAGGAAGAATGCGAGTTTGATGAACAGCCGCCCTCCATCCGTGCAGCTGCTCAGCACTACCAGACGAAGTCTCACACGAAACGGATGGCTCGCAGGACCGACGCGTCTGGTGAACGCAGTACCGACGCGCCTGGTGTGCAACGCGGAGGAGTTGCTGAGCAGGCGTCGGGATGCGGACTGAGAGAGGAGCACGACTAGGCGGAGCAAGAGCAGCAGATGGAGGGGAGAGATAGGGACAAGAAAGGGAGGAAGAGGAAGAGGGAGGAGTAGTGGGGGGGAATAGCAAGCACGAACACTGTTCGTGCTGAGCACGATCATGAGCAGACCGATGAGAAGGACGAAGGGCTGCAGCACAAACACATCAGGAGGAAGAGAAGGAGGAGGAGGAGGAGGAGGAGGAGGAGGAGGAGGAGGAGGAGCACACGGATGAGTAATTGGAGTGAGAAGGACAAGGTGGATGACGACGAGATGGAGGGGGAGGAGACGAGCAGGAGGACAGGCAAGCTGAGAGTGGCATAGTCGGCGGCGGGGACAACGACCGTGACGATGAAGACGACCGACGAGCGAGGACGGTGGCGACGGCGACGGCCGACTACAGTCGGGGCGTTGACCTAAGGAACCCTAAATAAGGAACGAGGCCCCTTTTTTCCATAAATTAAACTTCGATACCCTATCGAAAACCTAGGAAAACCTGCGGCAAGCTGCGAAACAATTAAGGAACACGGAGCCCCTCCCCAACGAAAAGGGTTGCTTATTCAGCGCCCCTTCTGTACGACCGACGGCGACCGACGACCGACGACGGACCACCGACGACGACCGACGACGGCCGCCGACGGCCGCCGTCGCGCGATTGGCACGAAAAGAACAGGTCCTGGGGGAAACGGGTGCTCCCCCAGGGGCCACCTCGGCATCCTGAGCCGCCTCCTCGCGGTCCCGGTGCCCGTGGGAAGGGCCCCCGGGAGGCCGCACGCAGCAGACAAGCCCAAAGACCCGTGTCCTCCAGGACCCGCCTCCTGCACGGGGAGCACGAAGCCGGGAGGCGCCCGCTGCGCCGCGGCGGGCGCCGCGCGGCCCGCCATCGCGCCCCCCCCGCGGCGGCAAGCGCGCGCGAGAGCGCGCGGCCGCGGAGGGCCGCTCCGCGGCTGCGGCCGCGGCCCCCTCGGCGAGGCGTCCCCGGGCGCGACTGCCCGACTGCCTCCCCGACCTCCTCCACCTCCTTGATGTCCCATTCCCCTGATCCTTCTCCTCCTCCTCCTCCTCCTCCTCCTCCTCCTCTTCCTTCCTCCTCCTCCTCCTCCTCCTCCTCCTCCTCCTCCTCCTTCTCCTCCTCCGGCTCCTCATGTTCCTCCTCCTCCTCCTCCTCCTCCTCCTTGTGCTCCTCCTCGCCCTCCTGCGTTGTCTTCCTCCCCCCGCACCTCTCCCTTCCGCGGCCCGCGGCCTCGACCTTGGCCTCGACGTCCTCCCACTTCCCCTCCTCCCCCTCCTCTATTCCTTTCCCTAAGAGATCACTCCTCCCTGTCGCACCCCGAGGCCTGTCGAAATGGCGGGAAGCGTTGCGCATGAGACTTCCTCACCTCACCACCTGTGACCGGGATGCTTACACATTGACAACTGTTTCACAGATGGTGGGCGGATGGTTTCCAAAATGGGGCTGTCGCCTTAACGCCGCGCGCATTCGCAAGAGTTTCACGGATTGAGGGCGGGTCGTTTTCAAAATGCGGCTCTCGCCTTAGCGCCGCGCACACTCGCTTTGATTATTTGAAGGAGTTTCACGGATTGAGGGCGGGTGGTTTGCAAAACGTGGCTCGCCTCAGCGCCGCGCACATTCGTTTTAAAACTTGCAGGGCTTCAACAGATTGAGGGCGGGTGGTTTTCAAAATGTGGCTCTCGCGATATCGCCGCGCACGTTCGTTGTAGAAATTTGCAAGAACTTCTCGTAGTGAGGACGGTTCGTGTTCAACATGTGGCTCTCGCCTTAGCGCTGCGCAGATACGTTTTGAATATTTGCAAGAGTTTCACGGGTTGAAGGCGGGTCGTTCTCGAAATGTGGCTCTCGCCTTAGCGCCGCGCACATTCGTTCTGAAACGTTACAGGAGCTTCACGAATTGAGGGGGAGTAATTTGCAAAATGTGGCTCTCGCCTCAGCGCCGCGCTCGTTGGCTTTCAACATATGCCAGAGTTTCACTGGTTCTCATGGTTAACGTACCATGAGTGGTGTTGTGGAACGCTTCAGGATTGTCAGGGCGCAACTGTTGCGTTGATTCGCGTTGTTGAAGTCCCAAGAACGGTGGTGTGGCGCGATTCAGGACCACCAAAACGTAACAATCATGCTAACTCGTGGCGTTGAAGTCCTGAGAATGGTGTTTTGGCACGCGTCAAGATGTTCACGCGGTTGTCCCCCAGCGGGGCCATTCCTTCAGTGGGAACGACCACATCTATCCCATTCGTCCTCCTCCTGCTCCTCCTTCGCTGGGGCGTCCTCCTCCCAAAGGCGAGGCGGGGCATCCCTCCGTCTCCCTCCCCCTCCTCCTTGCCGTTCCCCCGTCCTCCGGGGGGAGGGGAGGGAAGCCTGGGCCGGTGGGACGAGGCGGCGTGCGCCCGCGAGGACCCCCGCGAGCCCAACACTCGGCACGGCGGCCGCGCGCTGCGGCACGGCATGCTGCAGCGCCTTTTCACTGCGAGGGCTCGGAGACAGGTAGGAGGAGGAGGAGGAGGAGGAGGAGGAGGAGGAAGTGGAAAGAGGAGCAGGTAAATGAGGAAGGAGGTCGAGGGGAGCTCGAGGGAGTTGCTCGCAGGATAAGGCACAGAGGTGGGAGGAAGGCAGGAGAAAGTGGGGAAAAAAGGGAGGAGGGGGCGGAGGAGGAGTAGGAGGAGATGAGGAGGAAGGGGAGAGGGCAAGGGAGGGGAAGAGGAGAGCCCGTTCGGTCGCCCTCGCGAGGCGCCGCGCCGAACTGCAAGGGCCATGGTCTGCCAGAGTCGTTCGGCGGAATGCCGCGCCGAGCCGCCGAGAGACGGGCGTCGGGGCATCTGAAAAAATCGGCTGGGCAACCGGGGCGCGGAGCCACGGCAGCAATTAAAGATGGCGGGTTCGGTGCTCCTCAGAACACGTGCTAGCGCCAGCGCGTGCCAGTCCACCGAGGCCCCTCGATGCGACACGGGCGGTGTAAGGAGGGGCCCGTGGCAGGCTGCGTGAGCGAAACGGGGTGCACACCCTTCGGGCTGACACACGTCCTGAGAAGCGTCGGGAGGCGGCCAGACTAAAAAAGACACGGAACAGCAACAGGTGCTGCCCGGGGGGCTACAGGCAGGGCGCCCCTCGCGGAGCCCTGGCTCGCGCGGCGGAGGCAGAGAGGCGCTGCCGTCGTCGTCCGCCGATCGGGGCTCTGGCGACCGTGCCGCGCGCCACGATGGGTGCAGCGTCACTTTCTGCGGACCTTCTCCTTGGTCTCGGAGATGAGGTCCTGCGGCCGCTGCTGCGGGGAGAAGATGGTGTAGGATGGAAGGGGACGATCAAGGAGGAGGACGAGGAGGAGGAGGAGGAGGAGGAAGAGAAAGAGAAGGTGCAGGAGGGCAGAGGTCGAGAAAAGGAGAAAGGATGACGGGGTGGAGGAGGGGAGGGAGGAGAGGGGAGGAAGAGGAGAGAATGGGTGTTCGAAGAGAAGGAACAGGTGGAGGAAGAGGATGCTAAGGGACATGGGAGATGCCTTTATCCGAGGATACGGCGGAGGAGGAGGAGGAGGAGGCGGAGGAGTAGGAGGAGGAGAGCGAGGAGGAGGAGGTTGAGTAGGAGGAGATCATGAAGGGGGTCCAGGAGGAGTATCGGAAGGCAGATGGTGGAATATGAAGAAGAAGGAAGAGCAACACAGAAAACAGAGGAGGAGGAGGCGGAGGGTGTGGGAAAGGGAGTGAGAGAAACACCAACGCAAGAACTCACGAATGCATGACAAAATAATCATTCCAAGTCCTCACTCGGGAAGTCGTACTAAGGATGTCTTAGCCGCCGTTGCAGAAGAACTCTTTCTGAAGCAGTCCATCGACATCCTCTCGATATGCTCAGGAACTCTGCACGAAACCTGGAGAATCAAGAGGGATCGTCCAAATTCCACAAGTGTCCTTTGGAATCATTCGGACCCCCTCGAAATCCGTAGGGATCCAGAGGAACCCCGACAATCCAAAAGGAACCTTTGGGAAACGATGAGGGATCTTGGAACAAGCTACAGGGCACCACCTGCATCCCCTCAGGAATCCTTCAGGACTCCCTGAAGAATCATTCAGGAATCCTTGAGGGATCCTTCAAATCGTGGAAGAATTCGACATGAATATTCAGGAATCGCTGAACACCCTGAGGTTTCCTCCAGACATCGTTATGAAATCCTTCAAAACTCATTCGGAATCCCAATAGAATCTTCAGAAATCCCTAAGGACCCCCAGGGGATCCCTAGGAGTCCGCCGACCCTGTCGTCGTGTGGAAGAGGCTCTTTCATTCGTCGATCGTCTCCTCGTCGTCGTCGTCGTCGTCGTCGTCGTCGTCGCCATTCCAAACTTTCTTCTGGGTCTCCTTCTCCAGCGCGCCCGCCGTTGCCTACCCTGGGCCTTTCTCTTCAAGCATGCTGGCCGGAACGACGATAAAGAACGTCGAAATTCATTCGAAGGGAAACCCCGTCCCTTGATCCCTTGCCCGCCGGGGGGGGTTCTCGGGTTCTCGGGGGGGGTCCCAGGGGAGACACTGGAATGGGTCCCGGGGAGGGGGTGCCGGGTCAGAATGCCTCCCTCCCCCCTCGGGAGATCCCAAAGCCCCAAAACCCCCCAAGACGAACTAAGACTGCCCCAAGAGGCCCCCAAGACGGTCCAAGAGGGCCCCGAATCGCTGAACTATCGGTCGAAGACGCCAAAGTAGCCTCCAGACGGCCCAAAAGGTTCCTAAGACGCCCCAAGAGGCCTCCAAGAACATTCCCAAGAGGGCCCCCAGAGGCAAAAATAGTTGATTTCCCAAGAAGGTTTTTGGTAGATATTGGGATTCTCGCCTTTTCGGCTTTCCGATACTCCAAGGCGGCCTAAGGTCCCTCGGATCGCCCCAAGGTAGCCCAAGAGGCCCCGAGAGAGCCCAAAAACTACCCAAGAGGACCCCAAGACGGCTCCAAGAGAGTGCCCAGACGGGGAACCCGAACGGACATTTCGAGCCCTCGGCCTGGTTGCTCCCAGGAAGCGCCAAGAAGCCCCCAAGAAACCCCCGGGAAGCCCGAAGAGGCCCCCAGGAGCCTCCCAACAGGCCACCAAAAATTATCCTGGCAAAGCAACCTAACAGCGATGTGTATAAGCATATCTGGAAGCATTCCCCTTAAGATTCAGGTGAGAATCCAGTTGTAGAATTCTGCTGTTCTCGCAGTCGCAGTCGTATTCGCAATGACAGTCGCAGTGGCAAGGGCCTTAGGATCCAATGGAATCCTAAGGATTCCTAGGCATCCGCAGGCATCCGTAGGAATCCCTAGCCTCAGCCTCATCAGCCTCACCCTCAGCCTCAGCCTGCCTCAGCCTCAGTCTCAACCTGCCTCAGCCTCAGCCTGCCTCAGCCTCCTGAGCCTGCCTCGGCTTCAGCCTCAGCCTGCCTCAGCCTCAGCCTCAGCCTGTCTCAGCCTCAGCCTGCCTTAGCATCAGCCTGCCTCAGCCTCAGCCTGCCTCGGCTTGCCTCGGCCTCAGCCTCAGCCTGCCTCGGCCTCAGCCTCAGCCTCAGCCTGCCTCAGCCTCAGCCTGCAGCCTCAGCCTGCATCAGCCTCAGCCTCAGCCTGCCTCAGCCGCAGCTTGCCTCAGCCTCAGCCACAGCCTCAGCCTCAGCCTGCCTCAGCTTCAGCCTCAGCCTCAGCCTGCCTCGGCTTGCCTCCGCCTCAGCCTGCCTCGGCCTCAGCCTCAGCCTCAGCCTGCATCAGCTTCAGCCTCAGCCTCAGCCTGCCTCGGCTTGCCTCAGCCTCAGCCTCAGCCTGCATCGGCCTCAGTCTCAGCCTCAGTCTGCCTCAGCCTCAGCGTCGGCCTCTCAGCCCCAGCCTGCATCAGCCTCAGCCTGCATCAGCCTCAGCCTGCCTCAGCCTCAGCCTGCCTCAGCCTCGGTCTCAGCCTGCCTCAGTTTCAGCCTGCCTCAGCCTCCTGAGCCTGCCTCGGCATCAGCGTCAGCCTGCCTCAGCCTCCTGAGCCTGCCTCAGCCTCAGCCTCAGCCTGCCTCACCCTCAGCCTGCATCAGCCTGAGCCTCAGCCTGCCTCAGCCGCAGCTTGCCTCAGCCTCAGCCACAGCCTCAGCCTCAGCCTCAGCCTGCCTCGGCTTGCCTCAGCCTCAGCCTCAGCCTGCCTCGGCCTCAGCCTCAGCCTCAGCCTGCCTCAGCCTCAGCGTCAGCCTCTCAGCCTCAGCCTCAGCGTCAGCCTGCCTCAGCCTCAGTCTCAGCCTGCCTCAGCCTCAACTTCAGCCTGCCTCGGCCTCAGCCTGCGTCAGCCTCAGCCTCAACCTGCCTCAGTCTCAGCCTGCCTCAGTCTCAGCCTCAGCCTGCCTCGGCGTGCCTCAGCCTCAGCCTCAGCCTGCCTCGGCCTCAGCCTGCCTCGGCTTCAGCCTGCCTCAGCTCGGGCATTCAAAATATGGCACAGGACTTGTGTTCTGGGAACACGAAGATCACTAAGTTGCCAACAATTGGCTCCGAGCAATCAAAACATTGTACAGGAATGATGTTCCGGGAGCACGAAGAACACGAAGTGGCCTACAGTTGGCTCCGGGCGTTCAAAATGTGGCCTGGGAATGGTGTTCTGGGAACACGAAGAGCACGAAGTGGCCCACAATTGGCTCCGGGCATTCAACATGTGGCCTGGGAATGGTGTTCTGGGAAGACGAAGAACACGAAGTGGCCTACAGTTGGCTCCGGGCGTTCAAAATGTGGCCTGGGAATGGTGTTCAGGGAAGATGAAGAACACGAAGTGGCCTACAGTTGGCTCCGGGCATTCAACATGTGGCCTGGGAATGGTGTTCTGGGAACACGAAGAACACGAAGTGGCCTACAGTTGGCTCCGGGCATTCAAAATGTCTCCTGGGAATGGTGTTCTGAGAATGGATTCGCAAGGATCCCTTAGAATTCCTAAGGGTTCCTAAGGATTCCTGGGGCTGCCGGATTTGTGCGGATCTGTCCGGATCCCGCCCAGACCTTCTCTTTTGATCCCACTAGAACCCTATCAGCAAAGGCTGTTAGGTAAATACCCCCAGAGGCACCAGAGAGCGCACCGAAGTGACCCCAAGAAGATCCCTGATGACTCTGACCCACGTCAGCAGCGTCGTCGTCGTCGTGCAGGGTCGGCGGCGCTGGCCGCAAGGCCACTCCAATCCCTCATGCATCGTTGGGAACCCCTCCGTCTTACCCCTGGAATTCCTCTTGAATCCATCAGGAGCCCCACGAGACACTGCAGGAATTCCTCCAAAATCCTCAAGAAAATCCTTCAGGAATCAGTCAAGAGTCGTGAAGAATCTCCAACAAATCCCATAAGAATCCTTATAAACCCTCCGTGGTCCCGCAGAAATTCATTACACGTCCTTCAAAAATGCATCCGAAATCTTTCCGGCATCTCTCGGTATCCGAACAAAAAAGAAAAACGCGAACATCCTTGGGAATACCAAGGGGAACCTATGGAACCCTCAATCAAACAATACATAATCACTCAGGATTCCTCAGACATCCCTGGGGAATATTTTCAAGCATTTCTGAGGACGTCAGGGATCTTCATTACCCCTTGAATGACCATTCAAGAACCCAACAACCCTTTCAAGAACACTTCAGAGATCCTTGGGGAATAGTTGAGGCACCTTCGAGGTATCTCTCCAGAAGCTTCAGGGATCCATAGAGAGGGTTCAGAAATCCGAATGGGATCCCGTTGGAAACCTGCAGGCATTCCTGAAGAAGCCAGAAATCTTCTGGAATCTCTGAAGAATGCCGCAGCAATCTCAGGGCAAATTACTGGGAATCAATGCAAAGCCCTTCTGACATCTTTCCAGAACCACTTGGAGTTCTTCCGGAATTCCTCAAGAATCCTCGAGGTATCATCTCCGATCAGGAATCTTCAGGAACCCCAAGGAAGAAACCCGAGGGGTCCACAGGGAATCATCCCTCAAGACTCCATTTGGAAGCCCTCCGACTGTTCTCCCAAACAGCGCAACGGGGACCCAGAGGAGACTGAGCGCGCATGCACGTGGAGTCCATATGTCTGCGGCTGCTGGAGTCGGCAGTGCAGGGGCAAACCTTCCACTACTCCCTCACTCCCTCCCCTCATCCCCCCCTCCTCGTTCGCCGCCGCTCCATTCCCGCCACCCACCTCGCAGCCCTCCTCCTGCCCCTCATCCAGCTCCTCCTGCTGACACTAGCTACGTCTTGGGCTAGGCGGTTGAAGATTCTGTGAGGAGCTGGGGCTGGTATTGGGATGGTCCATCGCATGGGCCCTACGGTGATGGCCCTTTGGGACTCGAGTGTCCCTGGGCTGGCCCCTGCAGAAAATGGCAGGCCGATGTATATTGCAGCTGCAAGTTCCCATCGGCAGGCTCCCAAAAGCTGTGCTTCCCTTGGGCTCCGCACGCTCTCCTACAGCCTCGGGTTCAGGGTCGGCCCGCCGAGTGTGTGGAGTCTCTGGTCACGTCCTGTTCCTGTGGGCCACGGCGGTCTGGGGGGTCCATTCCGAATGCTCAGGCCTCGGCCAGCAATAGGAAGCACTCGCTCGACAGGTTGCAGAACTCTAAGCACACCTGGAGAACGACCGCGTCTCCGAGTGATGTGGCGTGGCTCACGCTGCGCGGCCTCGGCTGGGACTTCAAGGGTCGGCAGTATTGTATCAGCGACCTCGGGGTCAAGCATAATTTGCTGCAGCTCTCGCCGATGCAGATCAGGACCCTGATTCGGCAAGTGGCGGTGCGGGCATCGGACAAGCACTCTTTTGTCTCCAGAGTGGTCAGGATGGGGCCACCCGTGTACCCCATCTTCTGGGATGGTATTGGCAGGATGTTTCGAGAGAGAACAGGGACATGGGGCCAACATCAAAAGAGGTGCCTTCGTGGACTGGTCTCAGGAGAGCGTGGGCCCCAAGCTCGGTTGTAGGCACAATCTGCATGAAGACGAACTGTGCCAGCTTTGCCGCGAACAGCCAGGCACTCTATTTCACCGACAGTACGAATGCCCAGCTCACGAGGCCCTGCGGCGAGATCAGGCAGGTCCTAGGCTGCATGAATTTGCGAGAGAAGTCAAGGAGCGAGGCCCGTTGATGGCCGAAATGCTTGCCAGGTGCCTATTGCCTCATCCTCGGGGCCTCTTCGACCTTCAGGAGCCCTCGCAGACGGTCCACTGGATCAACAGGCCCCAGGCTGGTGTGTTGTCTGGCCTCCTTTTCCTGGACGGGTCGGCCACGGGCCCGGGTACTGCGCGGGCCGTGGGGCGCCCAGGGGGCACCTGTGGGGGGCCCGAGCGGAGCTCCTTTGCTCTCGATGATTCCCGATGCTTTGGGACCCTGGGCCGTGCCACAGCTGCCGACATAGACAGCGGCAAGACCACGGCCTGGGAGCAGCGGGCCAACCGCGAAGCTGACAGGCTCGCCCAGCTCGGGGCCGACGGACTGTCATGGAGTCACCGACGGTGACGCCGACCCAGTGTGGGGCCTGATGAGCCTCGCCCGAGAGGTGTGTAGGTGGGCTGGCAGCCTCGAGGTCGCGATGTCTGGAGGGCCCCGCGACACCACGGGGCTCGTGGCCACGCCGGGGCCGGCGGCTGCGAGCGACCCTCCAGGTGCGGCGGCTGGAGGGAACGCTGCCAGCAGCCAGGCCCTGGCCGATGATCAGAGGGATGGGGGCGGTGTTTCGGACTTGGTGAAGACCGAATGTGATTCTCTCGCCAAGTGTTCAAAGCGAATGGCCATGTGTTTGGCTTGTGCCGTTGTTGGCCGCCTCGGCTCCCAGAACAGCAGGATCCAATGTTGCTCCCCATGTCCAAAAGATGTTTACTCCGACCGCGCTGGGAAGGACCGCCTCCTCTCTCCTCCCTCCTCCCCCTCCTCCTCATGTCATGTTACGGTTTGTGTTGTGATGGTATGGTTTGTCATTACTCCGACCGCGTCGACTTCCTTCCACTCACCTCCCTCCTCCTCCTCCTCCTCCTCCTCCTCCTCCTCCTCCTCCTCCATCTCCTCCTCCTCCTAATCATCCTCTTCACTCGCATGTTATGGTATGTAATGGTATGTCATGCCGTAATATGTTATGGTATGTTACGCGTTGGTTTATTATGGTACGTTGTAGTATGGAGCATTATGATATGTCATGTGAGAGATGGTGGCGAAAGAAAGGCGATAGTGGTGATGATAACTATGATCATTATGGTGATGCTGATTCATGGTTGTAAGAATGATGATACAAATGATGATGATGCTGATGCTGATGATGATAGTGATGATGCTGCTGATGATGACGATGATGATGATGGTGATGGTGATGATGATGGTGCTGATGATGGTGATGATGATGATGTTGCTAATAATGATGATGGCGGAGTAGACTCTGAAGATGTCTCGAGCGAGGCGCGGGTGTCAGCAGTCTTAAGGGGGAGCCGCAAAGGGATATCGCACTCCTACGTTCGGGCCAAAATAGCGGGGACGTCTCGAGTGGTGTGCCTGTTTGCTGCCGCACCATCCTCCGCTTTCGGAGCAGATTCGGAGGCTGCCTCGGGCGAGGCGCTGGTTTTCGCAACGATGGGGGCACAGAGTGCGAGGATGTCTCGAGCGATTTGCTTGCTTTGCTGGCCAGACTCGCCTGCGTTCAACGAAGATTCTGAGGATGCCCCTGGCGAGGCGCTGGTCTCGACACCCCAAGGGGGCCCAGATTGTGAGGATGTCCCAGACTCACTTATGCTCAAACTCACTCGTGCCTAGACTCACTCATTCTCCGACTCGTACTCCTCAGACTCATACCCAGACTCACCCACACTCAGATTTACACACACTTAGACTCACTCACACTCACCCTAAGATCCGCTCGTAGTCAGTTTCACTCGAAATCAAACCAACTCAGACTCAGACTTTTACTCATCATACTCATACTCAGACTCACTCACATTCAGGCTTACACACGCCGAGAACCACTCACACTCAGACCCACCCGTACACTCGTAGTCAGGCTCACTCGTACTCAACCCCTTCAGACTCAGACTCGTTCTCATCAGAGTCACACTCAGACCCACTCACACCCAGACTTGCACACACTCAGACCACTCTCACTCACTCCCTCATAATCTGACCTACGCATTATCAGAACCACTCGCACTCAGATTCTCTCATACCCAGGCTAACTGAAACTCGCACTCAAGCATACGGAACCCCGTTTATACATCAAGCCCGTTTATATCCCCAAACCCATGCGTCTAGACACTCACGGCCCACGGGTCCATGCAAATAGATGCACATGTGGGGAGCTCCACGCAGTGAGTCATTGTCGCTGCGGGTCCGTTTTCTCGGGGGCGCCCAGTGCTGGTGCCAAAGGGCCACGCAGGCCCAAGCTGTCCGATGGCGGAATGAATGACCAGCTGAGGCTGATTCGGCTTGGCAAGCTTCTGTCTTGTACGAAGGACCTGAAAGACATGGCCCTGAAAGCCCGTGAGGGCCTGAACCTCGCCGAGCGTCGGATGATGGCTCAGACGCTGGAGGAGAATGGTCGGGTCCCCCGAAGAAGCGTCAGGTCCTCAGCCTTTTGCTTTTGCGAAAGGCTACGCCTCGCGAGAGTAGATGTTGGATACGCCCGGCCTCGACGAGGCGGACATCCCCTCGGTGAAGGCCCGAGGGGAAGCTTCACTCCAGGCCTCGCCTGAAGACTGCCGAGTCGGACTCGGAGGCCTCAGATTTCGGATGAGGCAGATCATGACTCATGGCTTCAGGCCCGTCCCCAACAACAACCTCCTGCTGATGCCCTTCCTCCTCCTCCTCCACCTCATCCAACTCCTCCTCCTCCTACTCCTCCTCCTCCTCCTCCTCCTCATCATCATCATCATCATCATCACCCCTTCCCCTCTAATCCTTCTCGAACTCTACCACCCCCGAGCCCCTGGTCGCTCTGACAGCGCAAGCGGGGTGCAGATCCCACGACACAACAAGTGACGCGGGCAAAGGAAAAAGGGGCCGAAGAGGGCCCGTTCTCGCTCCTCTCCCTGTCACTCCCTTTCCCGCCAGCACGTGACATCTGCTCCTGCCGCCCATGCAGGGTCCATTCCCTGGATGCGATCCTCGTCGCTCATCACCAGCGCCATGATCCCCCCGATGCCGCCGACGCCAACCTGGCTTTGGGTACGCTCGCGTCTGCATTGCCGAAACACCGCGCGTCTACGGTCGGGAAGTCTGGCTTCGCGTGCCGCCGCGGCGGCCCCGGCGACACGCTACGCCTGGCACGCGGAAAGCGTGTCGCTGCGCTCCGCGGGGTGGGAGGATCGAAACGACTCGGGACGTTGACGACGCCGAGGGGGGGGAGGAGGAGGAAGAGGAGGAGGAGGAGGAGGAGGAGGAGGAGGAGGAGGAGGAGGAGGAGGAGGAGGAGGAGAAGGAGGAGGAGGAGGAGGAGGAGGAGGAGGAGGAGGAGGAGGAGGAAGAGGACCTGTTGCGCAGCAGAGTGGTGGGTCAGAACAGCCGGAGCGACGGTCCACCAAAACCGCCCACCCCCCACGCCCCCCGCCAGACCGACGAGGCGGACCCTCCCACGCGGGACGACGCCGAAACGAACAACATCTGCACGCAACAACGCCCCCCGTGGGACACTCATTTCCACCCTCCCACGCGATCCACCACCCTCACGCTTATTGAACGTGAGATCTGGAAAAACCAAATGTTCCCGACGCGAAAGGCAGAATACCTGGCTTGCGTCAACGGAAGGGAAAGTGACTGCTCTGGTCACGCGGCACCGCCCAGCGAGGAGATAGAGTGACAGGTAGCCACCGTACGGTGCACAGCTCACAATGACCAAATCCAGATACCAAGCAGAGCTTTCAAGATCTACAAATTCCGCCAAGGCGATAGTCAAGGCAAATTCTAAAAAGACATGGATGCACCAGGCATGTAAGAGATTTGTCCTCTCGAATGCGCAAAGGGGCGACGGTCTAACAGGGGATCATGGGCAGTTGACAAAACACCTGGGGCCCAATTCGGGAATGTCCGAGGGGGGGCGTCTCTCCTTCAGGGGTGCGTCCGATTTGCCCATCCAGGGGTGTATCACCAAGTTGCTCTTCTCTTCTCAGCGACGATGACTGTTAGGGGAGCTGGGGGATGGGAAGACAGAACTCGCCTGCGATGATTGACGCAACCCGAATTGCCCCCTGTCCCGAGGCGGAGAGCTTGGATAGACGAGCTCCCACGGCAGTGGCCGCTGGACCACCGCCAATCTCTGCGCTTCGTGACTTCGCTGAATCGTTGAGGTGGAGCAAGCAAACATACAGTGCGGGCGCGGCCGCAAGAAACCCTCACAAGAAACCCAACCCTGAGAACCCGTGCGCGATGTGCACCTGAGGGGAAACCCGGAGCACCCTGAACGAAGCAGCTCCGTCAACGGCTGCGGGAAGTCACCGCGCAGCGCGAGGAGCGAAGAAACCCAGGATACCCTGGCGAAAAGCAGATGGTTTCTTGATGCGGGCCCCCTCTGTATCGCAAACAGTTGCCAGTGGGTGCCAGGCATGAATCACAATGAACTGCGCAGACGACGCCGACCCCCCACCCCCTCGCTTCCTTTGAAGTGTTGCGGGGGGAGGGCGAGGAGGAGGAGGGCGAGGAGGACACACGCCGCTTCGCGGGAGATACGGCCAGACAAGTCTGCTGTCTGCTCCTGGGTCGTCTGTGGGGTCTCTCGGGGCTGACCTGAGGCCTCTTACACCGTCTTGTGGCCCTCTTGGACCTTCTTGTGCCCCTAAGGGGCCCTCCTCCTCCTCCTCCTCCTCCGTGCCCCAAGGGACTCTCTTGTGCCCCAGTGGGCCCTCCTCCTCCTCCTCCTCCTCCTCCTCCTCCTCCTCCTCCTCCTGCTCCTCTTCCTTCCTCCCTCGGCGGGCGACCGACTTGCCCACGTCCCGCAGGCCGCCCAGCAGCAGGTCGACGCGCCCCCGCGCCTGCGTCGCGGGCCGCGCGCCATCGGGGAGGGTGTCTTCATGACCATTAACTGCAATGCATCATCAGCCTAACTGTTCTCGTCGTCCTTGTCGTCGTCGTCGTTGTCGTCGTCATCGTCGTCGTCGTCAGCGTCGTCGTCGGCGTCGGCATCGGCATCGGCGTCGGTGTCGGCGTCGGCGCCGGCGTCGGCGTCGTCGTCGTCACCATCAGCAGCATCCTCCCCCTGACCAACGTCAATATCATCAACATAACCAGGAATTAGAATCACAAGCTGAATCATAGTTGTCATCATCATTATCATCACCATCACCAGCATGTCATCATCATCGTTATCATCATCCTAATCATCATCATGATCATCATAATCGTAATCAGCATCATCATCAACATCATCATGTTCATCATCACCACCACCACCATCACCATCATCATCATCATCATCATCATCATCATCATCATCATCATCATCGTCATCATCACCACAATCATCATAAGTACCATCATCAACACCATCAACATCATCATCAGCATCAGCATCACCACCACCAACAACATCATCATCATCATTATCATCATCATCAGCATCGTCATCATCAGCATCATCACCATCAACATCTTTACCATTACTACCAACATCCTCATCACCGTCGACAACAGCAATGCCAGCAACAGCATCATCTCCACCACCATCACTATCACCACCGAAGTCAGCGTCATCACCATCACCATCATAAGGACCATCACCATCACCATCACCATCACCGACAACACCATCACCATGTGCCTCCTCACCTCCTCTGCTGGTCCTCCTGGCTCTCCTCCTCCTCCTCCTCCTCCTCCTCCTCCTCCTCCTCCTCCTCCTCCTTCGTCCGCCTAACTCCTCCTCGCTCCTCAGGTTCCACATGATCCTTCTCCTTCTTTTTCTCACGTTGATCGGACTTCAAGCGCGGGGCTCGCAGCGTTCTGAACTATGGAAAAAAAAACGACACAACGCAGTGGTGTGAGCAAATTACGCCTGGCTGGCGCAGCGGAAAGCAGAATTGGAAGGGCAGCCAGACAAGAAAAGATGAGTGCCCCAAGGGGCGCAGAATATGCGCCAGGCGGTGTGGGGAGGACAGACCACGCGAGCGATAACCGAAGACAACACAACAACCTCCTCCTCCTCCTCCTCCTTCTTCATCTGCCCCCTCCTGCAGCCGAGTCCGCGCTGCCGAGGTGGCGGACGAAGCTGACGGGCACCACCGTGGCGCGGCTCCCGCGGCGCCCGCGGAGGCGGCAGGAATAAGCCGCGCAGGGCCGCCGGTGCGAGAACGCCCTGCAACGCGTAGCCCAAGCAAGACCTGGACCTCGTGCGTCCCGAGCGGGTCGCTGGCGGCGTCTCCCTGCGACGGACGAGCGTGACGGACGCCTGCGGCCCAGCGAACCCTGAACAGGGATGCCCGATGACCCAGCGTCTCTCGGACCCGCAGGGGCAAAGGTTGTGAATGCCACGAAAATGGACACCCTAACAGTCCTATCATTAAGTTAAAGATGTGCTTAAAATGTGTAAAACATGATCTCAAAATGTTTCGAACATGTTTTTACATGCTCAACGCATGCTTGACACATGGTTTAGGCATCTGGGAACGATCTGGCAGCACGCTTCCTCTCCATGAGCCGACTCCCACAAGGCAGAGGAAAGGAGTGGCCTCGGGCGCGAGGGCCTCGGGGCGTCGCGGGAAGGCCACGCCCGAGCTCGCAGGCCAGTGCTGGGGGGGACCCCCCCCGTGGGCCCGCGCGGCGGCGGCAGGCCTCGCCCGACCTCGGCGCGGCCGCCCCCGCGCCCTCGCGCCCCCGCGCCGCTGATCGCCCCGGAAGAGCGCAGCCGCCCTGGGCCGGTCAGCGCGGCGGGATTCTGGGTCCTTCTGGAGACCTCCTCCCCTGGCGCTGCAGGGTCCTGCAGGATCCGGCGCTCTGACGGACCCGCGTTTGCACTGACCCCCGTCTCTTGAGCCCTGACACCACCTCCTCGACTTGTGGTGATCGGGACTCTCCAGTGGCGTTGCGGGGCTGCCTGGGGCTGTCTCTCGGGGGAGCCCCACCTCGGGGCCTTCCTGGATTCCTGGGACCCTCCCGGGGGCCTCCCTGACGGTCAGCGCCCCCTCCTGGACGGTCCGCACCCCCGCGGGTGACCTGCGGCAGAGGCTCGGGGTCGAGACGGCTGCGGCGTTGGTCGCCGACGCGCCCGAACGATCGGCGGCGCCTCGATCGCCAGATCGCTCCGCACTGGCCGACCACGGGCCGCTGGCGGCGTTCAGCGCCCGGACGCCTGCGGCGGGGTCGCCGCCGCGACGGCACGACGCGAATCTGCGGCAGAACGGCCCATCCACGGCGCTTCCGCCGCTCCGACGCGCCGCAGGGGGCACGTGCCGGGACGAGCGGGCCTCGGCTGTGCGTCGGGCGCTGGTCTGGCAGGTGGCCTCCCGGGCACCGGCGCTGGCCGGCAAGGGAGCGCCGGCGAAGCACCGGGGACTGCCAGCAGTGCCGGGAACGCGTCTGGATGGGACTGTCGGGGGCTCGTGCAGGGCAGCAGCCACCGACTCCTCCCATGGCCCGGCGAGCGGACCTCGCCGGCGGCGGGCGAAGAACCCCACAAAAAATACGAATACCCCCCCCCCATCATGGGAAACCACTTGTTTTTTTTTCCGCGGGCTTCTTGGCGGATGCGAACTCCAACAATAAGCGGCCACCGCCCAGGCCACGACTACAGTCGTCGACGCCGCCGTGGTCGTCATCGCACTCGCAGACGTACTCTACATCGTCCCTGCTACTGCTATTTTTCCTCACCTCCTCACTCAGAAGCTCCTCCTCGGAAACTCCTCCCCCAAAATCTTTCCCCTCAGAAGCTCCCCCCAGAAGATCTTCATAAAAAAAACCTCACTCAGAAACTCCTGCGCGCGAATACTTGCCCGACCCCCAAATGAAGACGACGACGACGACGACGACGACGACCGCGACGACGACAACGACGAAGGCAGCGCGGCGACGTGATTGGAGATGTAGCGAGTTACCACAGTCCTTGCACCAACAAGCTTAAATTCCCCCGTCGTGCAGGGTAGACGCCGAAGCTACATCCGCCAGGAGACATAAAACCCAACAAGTTGCAGCACTGCGAACAATAGTGGGCAATAGTTGCATGCGCGGCAACCACCGAACAAGATGCAGCAACATTGGGACGAGCTCTTGCTGCGCACTGTTACTTGCACGACCCCCCCCCATAGGAAGACGACGACGACTACGACGACGATCACGACGATCACGACGTCGACGAAGACGGCCCGCTAACTCGATTGGAGCTATAGTGATGTGTACTAGAATCCTTATACGAGCAAGCTCAACATTCCTCTGTCGTGCAGGGTCGCCCAGGAGTCATTACCCGCTGGGACAAAAAAAACAAACACATCCACTGATAACCAGCAGGCGAGAACTGGCGAGAACAAAAAGATGGCGCCCATAGGAGCTGTAGTATATACATATATGTATGTACATATGTGTACATACCTGTGCTTATGATTGTACAACTGTGCGCACATACAGATCTATATATGTATACGCACGGGCTCGTGGGACTGCTTCAGAACCTTCGAATACGAAACCCTAGAATTGCGTTGCTCCCATCGTACTTAAAGACTACATCCCAGAAATAATGTCGAGCACCCGGAAAAGTGCCGAAAGAGTGTCGAAGCAATGTCGAAACAGTGTCGGACGAGTGTCTCCCAAGGCCCCACACATGAAAACCCTCGAGTTCCCGTTCTTTTCTGATGCTCGATGTTTTTGTTCGTGGTCAAGGCTAAAGTAGGTTGGAACATCATAGCCCCAGAATCACCACGCGTTCCGATCGTATTCCTCCTTATCATTATCCTGCGTTTTCCCCTTCTACTCACAGGCCGAGCAGGAGCCGCCCAGAGGGTGGGAGGACGAAGGGGAAGACGAGGAGGGGAGGGACGAGGAGGGATGAGGAGGATGGGGACGAGGAGGGGAAGGAGGGAGGACGAGAAGGGAGGAGGAGGGAGGAAGAGGAAGGTGGAGGGAGGAGGAGGAGGAGGAGGAGGAGGAGGAGGAGGATGAGGATGAGAGGAGGAGGAGAGGAGGAGGAGGAGGAGGAGGAGAGGAGACTAGAGGGGGGAGGAGGAGGAGAGGAGGAGGGAGTGGCCTTGGATTTTCTTCTTCTTCTTCGGAGGAGGAGGGAGGAGGAGGAGGAGGTCTTATTGAGGAGGAGGGAGGATGAGGAGGAGGAGGAAGGAGGAGGAGGGGAGGAGGAGGAGGGAGGAGGAGGAGGCCGAGTGGTGCCGAGTCCGCGGACCTGCTCGAAGGTGCAGCGGGCCTCGGCGGCGGCCACAAGCCCCCCCCCGCCGCCAGGGGCGGCAGCAGCGCGGCCGGCCGGGCAGAGGCGCGGGCGCCTGCCGCAGCTCCTCGCGCACGGCCTCCAGCTTGCCCTCCACGGCCTCCTGCGGGGACTTTTTTGTTCGCGGAGGGGGCGATGGCGGGACGGCGACGGCCACGACGACGACGACGACGACGACCACGACGACGACGACGACGAGCACCACCACGACGACCACGACGACCACGACGACCACGACGGCGGCGGGCGGCACCCAGCGGCTCCCGCCCGGCGGGAGGAGGGAGGAGGCGGGAGAGAACGAGGGAGGGAGGGAGGTCCAGTCCAGGGAGAGGTGAGGGGGGGGGGGCGGGAGAGGGAGACTTGGAGGGGTGGGGAGCGTCCATGCAGCCTTCCTCTGGCCGCTTCTGCTCCGCGCCCTTGGCCCCATCCCCCCGGGAGGGGGGGCGGCGCAAGAAGGTCGGGGGCGCGGGCAGCAAGAGGGTCGGGGGGCGCAAGAAGGTCGGGGGCGCGGGCAGCCAGGTGGAGGAGCAGGAGGCCCGCAGCCGCCACCATCTCCGCCTGCTCTTGCCCTCCCCGTTTGCAGCGGTGATCGCCGGGCATACTGCCGTTGCGCTTGGCGGTGCTGCTCCTGCCCATCCTCGCCATCGTCCCCCTCGTCTTTCTCCTCCTCCTCCTCCACCTTCCTCCCTTTCTCCTCCTCCTCCTCCTCCTCCTCCTCCTCCTCCTCCTGCTCCTCTTCGTCCTCCTTCTTCCTCTATTTCTCTCTCCCTTCCCTTCCATTCCTGTAGGTCATTCTCCTCCTCCTCCTCCTCCTCCTCCTCCACCTCCTCCTCCTGCGCCGCCTCCTGCGCCAGCCTCACATTTCTTCATCCTCTTCCTCGGCCTCTTCCTCATCCCCGTCCTTATCCAATCTCTCCCCGTCCCCTCCTCATCCTCATCATCCCTCTCTTCCTCCCCTTCGTCAATTTCCTCGTCCTCTTCCGAGATCCATAGCCCAAGCGCCCCGCCTGTCCCCCACCCCTCTCCTTCCCCTCCCATGCCCCCTCTTCTCCAGCCCCCTGCCGTCAGCAGGGCTGGCAGTCCTTCTCCCGGACGGCCTGGTCGCACTCTATCTTTGTCTGGGGAGGCCGTGTTTGCGCGGGAACGTCGCTCGGCACTAGAGGCCGGGCGTAGCCGGGAAGGCGGAGGGTGAAGGAGGGCCGTGGCTCCTCGTTAAGTTAAGTGAGCGAGTCAGTCCCTCCAGCTCCTCGGGTGCAGCATGAGCGGTTCCCTCGCACACGGAAGGCTCGTCGGCCGTCTTGTCCACACAGCTGGGGGATCGACCCCAGGGGGCGAGTCTGAACGAATAGGAGATGAGGTGAGGAGGTGGGAGAAATACGCATGGGGGAGGGCAAGATGGGCGGAGGGGGGGATGGAGGGGATGACTCGGCTCGACTGTTTGCCTCGAGTTCTGGACCTGAGACATGCCCCGCCTCCCTCTCATCCTCCTACTCCTCTTCGTCTCTTGGACGATCCTGGGCCCCCTTGGACTTTCGACCACACAGGCCACCAGACAGGCAGAGAGACGGGGGGAGGGGCTACAGAGCATGAAGAGGAGGGGAGGGAGGATGGGAGGGAGAGGCATAGAGGACGGAGAGAGACAGAGAGACACTGATGAAGAAAGAGAGAGAGAGAGACACAGAGAGAGAGAGAGAGAGCGAGATCACTGTATATATGGAGAGAGATGGATGAATGGATGGCTGAATACAGACATATATGCACATTTAATGATATATTCAGGGAGAGAGAGAGAGGGAGAGATAGAGAGAGGAAGAGAGAGAGAGAGAGCGAGATAGTAATACATTAAGAACGACAGAACTATAGGAAGAAAGAAACAAGAGAAAAGGAGCGTGAGAAAGAGAGAGAGAGACTACATATCCGCAGCCGTGCCCTGAGGCTTGAGCTGGAGTGTCCTCAAGTCCCTGGCCCAAAAACCCAAGTCCTCACTCCTGCAAATTCTGTAAGGGACCCGGACAAAAATTACCAAATCTTCCTGGGCTCCCAGGCCCCGCGGGGCGCGTCGCGTCTTGTCGCATGGTTGTAGGGCCCAAGAGGGCCCCAAGACGGGCCATGAGCGCCCCAAGAGGCATGCAAGACGGTCCACGAACCCCGAATCGTCGCTCGATCCATCCAAGGCGCCCACGATGGCTCCAAGATGGCCCAAGACGCTCTCGAGGCGAACAAAGACACATTCCAAAAGCCTCCCCAAGAAGGCCCCGAGAAGCCCAAATCCGTTACTTCCCTTTTGCTGTTAAGAGTTCTTGGGGTCCCCGCGCCCGATGCAGCACACGGTGCTCCGATGCCTGCCGTAGCCTGGCGAGGCCTCCACGGGTGGCTAACTGGCACGGGCAAGGGAGGATGGACGGGAGGGGACAAGGATAACTATACTGTTCTGGGAAGCAGGAGCCCCACTCACGATGCTAGGCAGCCAAAAGATAAGTGAGTCTAAATGGGGGATGGGGGAGCTTGAGGGGCCACGAGGGGAAGCAAATGAATAATTATCCTGGCGAAGGACTCAACCATATGCAGTTGTGAATAAGTGCTATCGCCTTGGGGGATCTCCTCATGACGCCATGAAACATGCGAAAAAAGTGCCGACGTGGTGCGGGACCGTCATGTGGGCGCTGTCACTGGGGCGTTGGGTGGAACCGGCTATCGTGCCGCGCAACGTGCGAAGGGTGCGCCGCAGTGATGTGGGGCCGCCGCTGGGGACTTCGGTGGAACTCCCTACTGGGGCCACGGAGCGCTGAGCGGGGGGGACGCATGCGAACACCGCCAGTGGGGCCTTACATGGAGCTCCCTATGGGGCCACGAAGCGCTGTACTGGGTGGGGACGACGCATCCGAAAGCCGCCACCGAGGCCTCCGGTGGAACCCCATATTGGGCCGCGAAGCGCTGCATAGGGGGGAGAGACGCATGCGAACACCGCCACTGAAGCCTTTGGTGGAACCCCTATGGGGCCACGCAGCGCTGTACTGGGCGGGGGAACCGCATGCGAACACCGCCTCTGAGGCCCTCGGTGGAGCTCCCGATGGGGCCACGGGGCGCTGCACTGGGCGGTGGTGACGCATGCGGGAGGTGCCACTGGGGCCGTCGGTGGTGTTCTGGGCTGGTGGTGGGGGGGGGAACGAATTGGAGCACCGCCGCTGAGGCCTTCGGTGGAGCTCCCTATGTATTTGGGTGAGGAGTGGCGCATGCGAACACCGCCACTGAAGCCTTCGGTGTAGCCCGCTGTGGGGCCACGCAGCGCTGTACTTGGTGGGGGTGACGCATGCGGGCGGTGCCACTGGGGCTTTCGGTGGAGCTCCCTATGCGGCCACGGAGCGCCGTACTGGGTGGGGGTGACGCATGCGGGAGGCGCCACTGGGACCTTCGGTGTAGCTCCGTGGCGCATGAGGCGGTGTCACTGGGGCCTTCGGAGGAGCTCCCTATGATGCCACGGAACGGTGTATTGGGTGGGGAGACGCATGTGGGCGTTGCCACTGGGGCCTTAAATGGAACTCCCTATGGGGCCACGAAGCGCTGTACTGGGTGGGGGTGGCGCATGCGGTCGGTGCCACTGGGACTTTCGATGGAGCCCTCTTATGGGGCCACGCAGCGCTGTACTTGGTGGGGGGGGCGCATGCAGGCGGTGCCACTGAGACCTTCGGTTCAGATGCCCATGGGGCCACGGAGCGCTGTATTGGGTGGCGGGCAGCGTGCGGATGTGCCACTGTGCCTTCGGTGGGGCTCCCTATGTGGCCACGAAGAGCTGTACTGGGTGGGGGAATCGCATACTGATGAGGGCAGAGGCACGGAGGAGGAGGAGGAGGAGGAGGAGGAGGAGGAGGAGGAGGAGGAGGAGGAGGAGGAGGAGGAGGAGGGAGGAGGAGGGAGGAACGGGGGAGGAGGAAGGACAGAAGGAAGGAGTGAGCGACGCGGGGCGCTGTCTCTTCAAAGCGAGGACCCACCACCACAGCACGGCTGGGAAAAATTATCATGGGGAAAGGCCCAATCATATGCAGGCGTGAGTATCGTCCTTGCTGGTAGGTATCGCCGTGGGGGGATCCCCTCCATGGGCCATTAAGCATGCGAAAGGTGTGCCGACATTGGGCGAGGTCGCCATGTAAGCGCTGCCACTGGGTTTCAAAATGGGACCACTATCGTGCCGCGAAACGTGCGACGGGTGCGGCGCAACGAGGCGGGGCCGCCAGTGAGGCCTTCGGTGGAGCTCCCTATGACGACACGAAAAACCTTTTACTGACTGGGGGGGACGCGTGCGAACACCGCCACTGAGGCCTTCGGTGAAGCTCCCCATGGGGCCATGAAGCGCTGTACTGGGTGGATGTGACGCAAATGGGCGGTGCCACTGGAGCTTTTGAGCTTTTGTTGGAGCTCCCTGTGAGGCCACGAAACGCTGTGCTGTTTGGGGGTGACGCATTCGGGGGGGGGGGGGGCCACTGGGGCCTTTCCGTGAGCTCCCTAGGGGGCCACGAAGCGCTGTGCGGGGTGGGGGAACAAGATGCGGGCGGTGCCACTGGGGCTTCCGAGGAGCTCCCTATGAGGCCACGCAGCGCTGTACTGGGTGGGTGTGGCGCACGCGGGCGGTGCCTCTGGGGCCTTCGGTGGAGCTCCCTGTCGGGCCAGGAAGCGCTGCACCGGGTGGGGGAACAGCACGCGGGAAGCGCCACTGGTACCTTCGGTGGAGCTCCCTGTGTGGTCACGAAGCGCTGTACTGGGTGGGGGTGACGCATGCGGGCGGTGCCTTTGGGGCCTTCGGTGGAGCTCCCTATGGGGCCACCAAGCACTGTACTGGGTGGGGGGAACTGCATACCGCGGAGAAGGAGGGGGAGGGGGGAGGCAGGAAGGAGTTAGTGGCGCGGGGTATTGTCTATTCAAAACGAGGAATCCACACCACAGAATGGTTGGGAAAAAGGGTGGCGGACGGGAGAAAGGGGGACAAGGGAGAGAGGATAGAAAGGGAGGAGTGGAGAGGAGAGGGGTCAAAATTAGCCTGGCGAATCACATAACCATATGCAGTTGTGGGTACCGCAATTGTGGGCATCGTCTCCCGAATAGCTCCCTATGGGCCACGAAGCGCCGAACAAGGTGGCGGAAACGCATGCGAACTGCGCCACCTGGAACGTTCGGAGGAGCTCCCTCTGGGGCCACGAAGCGCTGTACTGGGCGGGGGGGACGCATGCGAACTGCGCCACTGGGACCCTCGGTGGAGCTCCCTCTGGGGCCACGAAACGCTGTACTGGGTGCGGGGGGGGAACGCATGCGAACTGCGCCACTGAGACCTTCGGTGGAGCTCCCCCCGGGGCCACGAATTGCGCTGTTCTGGGTGGGGTGAACGCATGCGAACTGCGCCACTGGGATCGTCGGTGGAGCTCCCTCTGGGGCCACGAAAAGCTGTACTGGGCGGGGGGGCGCATGCGAACTGCGCCACTGTGACCTTCGGTGGAGCTCCCTCTGGGGCCACGAAGCGCTGTACTGGGCGGGAGGGACGCATGCGAACTGCGCACCTGGGACTTTCCGTGGAGCTCCCGCTGGGGGCCACGAGACGTTGTACTGGGCGGGAAGGACGCATGCGAACTGCGCCACTGAGACCTTCGGTGGAGCCCCCCCCTCTGGGGCCACGAATCGCTGTACTGGGCGGGAGGGACGCATGCGAACTGCGCACCTGGGACTTTCCGTGGAGCTCCCGCTGGGGGCCACGAGACGTTGTACTGGGCGGGAGGGACGCATGCGAACTGCGCCACTGAGACCTTCGGTGGAGCTCCCTTTGGGGCCACGAAGCGCTGTACTGAGCAGGCGGAACGCATGCGAACTCCGCACCTGGGACCTTCGGTGGGCCCCCTCCTGGGGCCACGAAGCGCGGTACTGGGTGGGGGAACGCACGCGAACTGCGCCACTGGGACCTTCGGTGAAGCCCCCTCTGGGGCCACGAAGCGCTGTACTGGGTGGGAGGGACGCACACGAACTGCACCACTGGGACCTTCTGTGGAGCTCTCTCTGGGGCCACGAAGCGCTGTACTGGGAGGTGAAGACGCGTGCGAACTGCGCCACCGGGACCTTCGGTAGAGCTCCCGCTTGG